ATACCATTGTTTTATTGCCTATCAATTCACTTTCTTTTCTATTTTGGTCATTATACTAAACTAACGTAACGTAAGCGTAGCTTTATCTATGCTCGCTCAGCAACATGCTCTCATTTAATCATCTATTCTTATCTATGCTCGCTCTTGTTATCTTTTCTTTCCTATGCCGTCGCTAAGCCGTCAGCAGCTGCGCCTGCTCTAGCAGTTACCGCTTGATATAGTTGGAGAACAGACCCTTTTTGTCCCCAATCTATTACTTTGGCTCGAGATCGGCTCGCTTGCCTCATCCAAGTGTATCACTCTAATACTATTGTAAAAGGCTCTGGCATCTTCGGCCACCCTCAACACACAAAATACCTATAATAAAATTTATAACGTTTTCGGAAATTAATAATTTGGGAAATTATTGAACAATCATAGTCAGCGAAAAAGCTCGTTGTCTCAACACCCCGACTATTTTGACGCCTTTCAAGTGTGTGTATTGGGTCTTATTATTACTCTTTAAAAAAAAAAAAAAATGGAAAAAAGGAAGGAAATACAGTCTTTTGTGCGAAATTTGATTATCAGCCTATGATATAGTCAAATTAAGTCGATCCACCGTCCAGACCATCATACGGAATAACAACAGCAACAATTCCACGGAAAATAAGAAGAGATCAGGAAGGCCAAAGAAGCTATCGAGTCGCGACGAGATAAGCAGCCTCAAGGAAGTCAATAAAAACCAGAAGATAAGTGCACCAAAATGGTCGGAACACATCGAAAAGAATTCAGGAGTCATTGTGCACCCAAAAGCAAGGATGGTTTCAAGAGCCGAGTTCCACGAAATATACCATTGATTTCCGTCGAGCATGGAGGCGGTAGTGTAATGGTTTGGGACGCTATGGCGTCGCAACTTGGTGTTTGTGGAATGGAATATGGATCGCTTCCAGTTTAAGAAGATATTGGACGATTTGAAACCATCGGTGGATACACTGAGCCTGGGACGCAGTTGGATCTTCCAGCACATGTTGTGCGGGATTGGTTGCTGTATTGTGCCCCAAGACAGCTTCGTTCACCACCCCAATCGAACATCTTTGGAACATTTTAGAAAGATTGGTACGGAAGTATGACATCAGCAGTCGGGAAAGTCTCAAAACCGCTTTTATTCGAGCTTGGGTCGAAGTTCCGCCCACAACAGGCTGTAATAGATGCCAATGGTGGACCAACCAAGTATTAAAAATACATATAATAAGTATTAATATTAAGATGAATTTGAAACCAAAATACAAAAGCATAGAGGTTGTATGTAGACTTTTTTCCCATGAATTTGTTATGTTTTTGTTCTTATTGTTGTAAAATGAATTATAAATTCAATTTTTTTTGTTTTGTAATAATCTTATCTATTAGAACCTCACATAATGGCGTACCAACTTTTTTGATTTTCATTGCGAAAACCCGAAATATCGTAAAATTGGGGCTATATGTTGAATTTTTTCCTTATGCACTAGGCGCTCATAGGGACAGACAGACAGACAGACATGGCTCAATCGATTCGGCTATAGATGCTGATCAGGAATGTATTTATGGGGTCTGAAACGCTTCCTTCTGGACGTTACGTTAAAAGTATTTGTTTATTAAATCCCTAAAATAATACATAAGCTATGGCCGCATGGGGAGATGAGAGAGTGTCATTGTTGTTACCATAATTATATTTGTTCGATTAGCTGCAGGAGTAGTAAGCGTTATAACCGTTTATTCTTGAAGTGACGGGGTGGGATAAAGATTTGACGAAACACTCGATTTCTTTCTTCGCTTTAATTTTTATGTGAAAATAATAAAAATAGACTTTGAAAAAAGAAAATAAAAATGTGGAGTAGCAAAAAGATTGTGGTCCAACCATGTTGGTGGGCTGGAAACGGCAGTTCACTCCGGTACGCTATCCCACTACTGCCTACCACGGGAACTCTTGGCTGCTGGTTTTCACCCCTGGCCCGGTTCATCCCTCCTTAGCCAACCTGAATGCCGCGGACTCCTCCATGGCACCCATATTGATGGCAAGCTTAGTGCGGACGTTCCGTCAACATGAGCTGGTCCGTTACACAGTGATTCCCAGCCTCAGGCCATCCCACAATCTGACCTCACAGAAGCGTGATTACAGAAGATGCCAACCTTCCAGTCGAAAGTCCGGGGTTTAATACTCAAAAACGAGTTACAAATTCGAAAGGTTTTCAAAACTGAACTGCTTTGCCGACATAATGAACTGCTCAACCGACAGAATTAAGTTCTAATTTAACTGCTTTAAACTGCTTTGAGATGTACAATGCATTCGAAAACAAAATAAACTTTTTAAACGTAAAAAAATTTTTCTATTGACAAAAATAAGATCGGTCAAAAGAAAAATTAAAATATTAAAAAATTCAACAAAAAAAGAGAAAATAAAAATATATCAAAAAGTTTTCGCCCGAGCAGGGACTTGAACCCTGGACCCTTGGATTAAAAGTCCAATGCTCTACCGACTGAGCTACCCGGGCATTCAATCAACGCTTGCCAAAGTACTAACAAAACCAACGTTCTTATCTCATTCTGATGAGTATTTTTAGTTTGAAAAAGTATTTCTCTAAATCGAGAATAATAACTAAATATGAAGGCTGCAATAATTACGATGCAAGCAAAAAGAAATCGCCCGAGCAGGGACTTGAACCCTGGACCCTTGGATTAAAAGTCCAATGCTCTACCGACTGAGCTACCCGGGCACTTGGGCCACTCCCGCCAACGCCTTCTTCTCAGAATAATGCCCACCCCAGCATCCCAAACAAAGCCTTGATCAGGAATAAGATGATATCTGGTGTTACATTTTAAAATAGTTTTTATTTTTTTATGCCATATTCATACATGTTTACATATTGGTTTTGTTTTGTTTTGTCATTATATTTGTATGGTTTTTGTGGTTTCATAGTTGAAATTTCCATTTGATTTTCGATTCCATTTTTTTTTAGAAACAATGCAATGCCTATGCAATTGAACCCAGATTAAGTTAATACATATACATACGAATTTCATTAAAAATTAGTTGCGTAATTTTATTTTTACATGGAATGCAGTTAAACTTTTTGCGCCCACTGTGCGTAAGCGCCCCCTTAACCCAAAAACTACAAACAGTGTTTTGTATATTGTATTGCATTTCGTTTCGGTTCAGACAAATTGCAATAAAAAACAATCAACCAATCGAAAGGGTGGGTGCATCAAATGAATGATTGAACAAATGTACAACGAAATGAAACAAAAAATAATAATAGTAATAATTAATTAATTTGTGCTAAGTATTTTTTGTTTGATTTTTATGCATTTTCCATCGCCATATTTTGTTCGATTTGTATCCCATTTTTGTTCTGTTTTCACTAAAAATTTGTCTTGCTAGTTCGATATACATATAATTTAGGCTTACGGGCTAGGGTTCACATAGACTACCGATAGTTCTAGAATGCACTAACCTTAGCTTAGCGAAAAGTACAGCATAAATAATTACATTACATTACGGTTATGGGGTTGGGTTTCCTTTAGCTTTTTCGAGTGTAACAATTCTCGTTCTTTTCAAGGTTTTCCTTTGCTTATTATTGATTACCTTTCGGTTTTGTTTTTGTTTTTTTTTTACAGACATGAAACATTGCTGAAAGAGGTCTCTAAATAAATAATATATTCTTTTAATGCGGCTCGAAAGAAAGTCCAGTTTCCATATCGAATTCTATGCTAAATGTGAAATATTTTTTAGTTCCTGTTTGACTTCCGAATTTGTTCTTCAGTGGCAAATTATAAAACGATTTGAATCTTTTTTGTTTTTTGTTTTTGTTTTTGGATAAAATTAGTAAAGCATTTTCGAAGCTGCTAGAGCACTTTCAACAACACACAAAATAAACTGAACAGTAGAGATACTTTCAAAGATACTTTCATTTCTAAACGAAACACAAACATAATAAAAAGAAAGCCGTCCCCCGAGTCCGAGGGCGCTCTCTGCTATTTACAAACTAAACAAAGCCTTATGTGGTTAACTAGATTTAGGTTATCTACTAGCTAGGTATTAAGTACACACTTTAGGACTCCCTGGAGGGCGGGGAATTGGGTTGGGTTGGGTTGGGTTGAGTTTGGGCATGGACTTGGATTGGGTATATCTTTAAACGAAGAACTAATGTTAGTTAGAAATCACTTTGAAATTATTGCAGATATTAGTTTTTGTTTAACTCGATCTTCATCTCTGTTCATCTCCTCATCTGTGCAGCTCTTAGGGACTAAAATTTATGCTAGACTTACAGACTAACAGCTTTTCGAATACTGCTTAGAGAAAGAGGTCCATCATACTGGGGGCGAACCACACGCATTCACATAAAGAAAGTCCAGAATTAGGGGAATAGAAAGGAAATCTCTCTGGGATCCCCAGGCAGTTGAGAGCTGTGCTCAATTCGGGGAAAGTTTTGAAGGGAAGGAAACGTATCGAATATCGAATAGAATTGTGTGATTGCTTGGGGTCCCACATCCAGTATCATAGACCCAAACGAGCTGCCGTGCGGGGGGCGGGGGAACAGCTCGTTTCTTAGCTTAACACGAATCAGTTGCAAACAAGAAACATCGTCTCTGATGTTGGTTGATCGACGGGAGAGCGGCGACTGGGACAGGCGGGTGGCGGTATGCGGTATGCGGTAGGCAAGATTTGGGGCAGGTGGTGGCTAGATCGCCTCAGCAGCAGAACATATTGCAGCCAACAATGTCCGTCTTGTAGTCCAGTTCCAGATCCAGGTCCAGCTCCGGATCGGGCTCACAGTCCGATTCCAGCAGCTGTTCCATCATCTGCGGATGACGATTGTGCTCCTCCTGCTCCGCCTGCTGCTGCCTGATGATAACCTGAGATCAGAACTCTTGCGGATACTTGAGGCAATCGGCATTGGAGTTGCTGGCAGCGGATGAGAAGAGCGAATTGGGACCGTTGCCGGTACTATTGCTGCCTCCACCGCCGCCTGTCACACCCGCACCACCACCACCAACGACACCACTACCTCCACCACCATTACCATTACCGCCAAGGGACACAGCATCCTGCGGCCCCTGCGACTGATAGCTACCGGCCACACTGGCCGCCGCCGCCGCCGTCTGATATGGTTCCTGATACAACTGATTGAGTCTCTAACCAGTACCCGAAAAGTGCCACGCGTCCTATGCGCTCAGATGCGCAAACTGTGACGGATGGATATCGAACTGATGGTAGGGATGGCCATAGGGACCCATATGGTAGGGCACGATGTTCATCGAGGCCATCTTGTGCTCCTTCTTCCACTTCATGCGCCGGTTCTGGAACCAGATCTTGATCTGGCGCTCGGTCAGGCAGAGGGCATGGGCGATCTCGATGCGTCGCCGGCGTGTCAGGTAGCGATTAAAATGGAATTCCTTCTCCAGTTCCAGTGTTTGATAGCGGGTGTATGAGGTCCGTTGTCGTTTCGTCTCGCCATTGGCATTCACAGTACCTACAGGAGAAGACAGAACAAAGAGAGATATTTTTGTTAGTTGGAGCAAGAAAATGTTTCTTAAATTAAGAGTTTTCTTATAGAATATACTTAAAATATCTATTTCATTGTCATTTCCCTTCTAAGACTTGTTTTGTTGCACTCCTACCAATATTTGTAGGCGTTTCTAGGCAATCCTCAAACGTTCAAGTGGACAAGACCCCATCCATACCCCCTTGAAGCTCCAGGCAGTTAATTTTCTCATTTATTTTGTGATTTTCTGCAACGTTGCGCATTTCATTTCATTTCATAAATATGACGTGTCAAACTGCAATTTGCTTGGCACCCGAAAAAACAGACCAAAACCAAACCAAAAGCCCAGAAACTTTTGTATTGCCAAGGCGAAGGAGGAGTTCGTTCTGGCCAAGGTAGGTATCACCCCCTAGACAGATGTTTGTCGCTTGCCCCCCACCCTCTTATTTTGTATCTTTTATATTCATGGCAAGATAATGACAATTTCCCGTTCATTGTGAGTCGCCCCCGAAAAAACTTTTCTGTCATCTGTATTGGGCCTCCGACTGGCGAGGCAGCGAGGGCGTTGGAAACGCGTCGTTCATAATGAGGGGGCGTGCTGTGGCAAAGTAGACTTTTAAAAGCCATTTACCGTGGCGTGTTATTATGGCCAAGTCCAAGTCAATTGGCCCGCCCGCCCGCCTCGTATTCGCTGCCAAAGAGCCAAAGCCAAAAGAGTTGCCAGAGACAATAGGCATGGGCATGGGCATGGGCACGAGCATGGGCCAATGCCTTCTGCAATAGATATTGTATCTCTAGTATTTATATCTGTGAAATGTGTGGCAGTCAGTCAATGTGATAGACGGCAACCGCTGGCTCTTCTATGTGTGGCTCTCTGTGTGTTCTCCAATCCCTATCTGTTGTACGGGGGGGGGGATTTAATTCTACGTTTCACTGATTTTATATGGGTCATGGCCCATTCGCTAAATGGGAATTAGTTATTGGATAAGATAAAGCAAAAGTTTTGCTGTTACAAGTTGTAACAGTATCTTTTTGTAAATATCGATGTAAAATTTAGTTTCCCTAAACTTTTTCCGACTTTTAAAAATGTTTAAAATGTGCCACACACAAGCTGTTGCTATCCCCCTCTTTCTGTCTTTTTTGGTGGCTGTCTGCTGTCTCATTTTCGTGGTCTTCGATGTGACGTTGGCGGAAGAGATGTCAGGGGCACATCAATCAGCGTGGAAAATCTAAATGGAATTTCCGATTAAAGTTGAAATTAATTACCGCTCATTTAATTAAAGTGAATTTGAGTGTGGCAAATGCTCCTCCAAGCACACAGATACACCAGCTTGAAGCATGTGTACACACAATATATGTATGTATGGGTGTGTGCTTGTGGAAGCGCTAACATCAAAAGCTCTTTTCACATCCCTGGCTCGCTCTCTGGCTCTCTGGCTGCCACATCCTGAATGGGTGCCAAACTAATGACCAAGTAAACAGCCGGCAGACAGTAACCAGACAACCGGCCATCGGCTTCATCAGTCATGCGGATCAGCAGAGCGAGAGAGGGACAGACAGAGACAGAGACAGAAACAGACAGATATGGGGAGTGAAAGGGATGGCCACAAATTGAATTGCAGTAATCCGAGACCCAACCAAACTCTTGACCCAGTGCAGCTCCTTTTTTGTCTGGGCAGAACTGTCAGTCAGGTTATCAAATTTGATTGTGCAACTAATATTTCTAGTTTGCCATTAGACCCAAACTTTGACCCCCACCCCTCTCCAAAAAAAACTTGGCAGACGGCTCTCGCTCAGAGGGTCAGACTGATGCATGATGTGCAGACATTTTTGAGTGTTTTCTTGTGACTATTTCATAAGCTCGGCTCTGACCTTGCCCAGGGACCCAGAACCAAATCAATAAACAGACAGCACTGCTCTTCCTGGTATTCTTATGTTCTCCATTTTTGCTGTTGGCAAATCATGTGAGTGCCTGCTGGCTGGCTGGCTGTGGCTATGGCTGTGGCAGAGACAACAAAGAGACATGCTGAACACTTGCACTGCCATCGACCATTTACAATTGTCAAATGTTGCTGTCATATGTTGCAATTTGTTTACAACACTACTATGCCCCCAAAAGTGGGAAGAAGGAGGGGGAGACACAGCAGCAACAGCATTGCCAAATGTATCTCAGAGATGCTGGGTTGGAGGGGAGTTTTGAGAATAAAGGTATCTCTACTATAAAAAAAGAGCCAGAAAGTCTTCTAGATAGATCTCCTTTTGAAGAGCTAAAGTTCCCTTGAATTCTTAGCTAATTCTGCAACATATCTGTGTTCTTCTCTCTTATTATGTCTTCATTGCCCATCATCTCCCTCTGGGGAAGATCTCAGCATCATTCAGCCTAATACCCACTCAAATTCAGTTTGATTTCCGACTAAAGATCAACACACATCCGCAACCCGTTGAGTGTCAGCACTGTGGTCGTAGTCTTCCCAATCTTCGGCGTCAGTCTCTTTTTCTTTTGGTTAACTACATCGCGAGTAAGTAGCGCATCGCTGTCGTCATGGCCAGGCGCAAAAGCCTCCCGAATGAGTTGACAGGGCAGCCACAGAAACGGCACCTGGCATGTCATATCACTCCACATGCTTATATCTTATATCAGAGGGGGGACTGGTCGAGAGCCGAGAGAGCGAGAGAGATCCCGGGAGGAAGGAAGGCCTCTTGACAGCGCCAATGAGCGAACATTCGAAGCGTTTTACAAGTTTGTTCCCATTTCCCTGCCACCTCTCAATGGGACGTGGATGTGGCTGCTACGTCTGGGCATTTGTGAAATACTATATAGACATATTGGATATATACATTCACATATTTCCGAGACAGAACGCCCCAAGAATGAAGAATTCGCTTGTGTGTGACTTTTTGTTTGTTTGGATGTGTCTTTTGCTTTGTCATGTACTCTTTCTGGTCGGGTTTTGGGATTGTTTGAATATGATGTTTGTTCAAAATATAATTTTATTTGAAAGCTTAAATACGAGGGCTGTTCAATAAGTCCGTGACAAAGGCATCTATTAGGTGATTCCTGTCAAACTTTGTTTTACAACCATTGATAAACAACTCTGGGAACTCTACTCCAACCAATTTGAATGGTAAAATAGTGATTTGCCGAAAGGCCTGGACGCCTACATGAGTTCTCGTCTGTATAAACCTTAAACAAGAGCTAAAAACTACATCTTTCATTCTCAAATTAAACCAGAACTAAAGAGTATTCAAACTTCTACTTTTCGGTATGATTTTCTCACTTGTTGGTCGCTTTTTCATTTGCATTTCATGTAAGATGACGTCAAGTGCTTGTGGCTCGACCAGCGGCTGACAGCCGCTTAACATATCAGTTGATATTTGAAATATTTTGGTGCATCCTCAGCCATCTCCCAGCCACGGGGATTGCATGCAAAAGATCTGTTTCAGAATTTATTAAGTGACGATCGACGGGTCGGTCCAGCTTCGACAGCATTCAGGGTTCTGCAATTCAAATTGCCATTGTCTTTGGGCCTGTGTTCCCCCAATGTTTTTGGTCTTTATCTCTTTGCATACTGGCTGGAAGATCGGGTCTGTGATTGACACGAGATTAGCATACGCAGAGACTCCTCTCAGCTCAGCTCAGAGGGCAGGTTCAAAGTTAAGCAGAAAACCTTTGGCGTAGGTCAGACACACAGTCGCTGGGCCCAGGCCGAGGCCTGAAGTTTAATTGTATTTTTTTGTTGTGGCGCAAATAGACGGCAACAAAAAAGATACTTGCGGCTTGTCACAAACACTTGTAGCAGTCATTTGTCAACGGACCGGCGTCTGGTCAGCGGAGGTAGGAATAAAAATAAAAAACATACATACAGCCCCAACAACAACTGAACATCGTCATCGTAATCAGCAACGTGTGCGGCACGGCACGGCACCAGAGACTCGAGCGACTCCCAGCACCTGGGATCTCATCTGGCGGCCTCAGTTTTGATCTTATCCCAGCAAAAAAACATCTCTGAACTTGTTGTATTTCTTACAGGGAATCGCGACAAACCAACTCCAAAGTGTCCAATGAGTCAGGGCAGGTTCGTGCTCCGAAGGAAAGTTCATAAATCAACGCACTTCCGATTGGACATCCAACGGAGATCCAGTGTGCAGTGGCTACTTAATGAGTCGTTTAACCAAAAACCATTATCAATGTCAAAATTCCACTCCAAGATCATTACTCATAAGATGAGGGTTGGTCTGTGGAGGGTTACAGATAGTTTTGGTAGAAATTTGTCACAAATTGAACTAATTAACTCGGCACATCTCTGGCTGTATCTGGGGTTTTATTCCCAAAACAGTTTGCACGACTTTTAGTATTAAGATTCCCTCAAAACAGTTCCATAAATAAATCAGACGGAGAGAGAATGGGAATGGGAATGGTATGGTATGGTATGGAGAGAGAGAGAGATGATGCCACGCTTGAGGTCGTTTGGAAGAAATAAATCTTGAACCATGAGAAGCGATCGGAATGGCATGGGCATGGGGATGAGTATAGGAATGGAGGATGGGCATGGGCATGGGCATGGGCATGGGCGAGGAGTCAAAAGGGCCGCCACACGGGTCGTCAGGGACATGTGCAGCCCGCGCGGGTTAATTTCTTTCGGAAAAAGAAAATTAATCAAATATGTGCCTCAGTCTCAGTGCTATCTTGAGCATGTATCGCTTCGCTCTTTCTCTTTCTCTCAGTTGCATTCCTTAGGTGATAAATGATGATGCCGTGGTGTTTCCAGACTCTTTGTGTGTTGTGTGTGTTTTATTTTTGGGGCCATGCGACAAATGATGTGACATTTGTGATAATGAAAGTGTTACCCCTCTCCCCCTCTGGCACGCGCTAATAATACTCTCGGACAACAGGTGTTTTTGGGGTTCTATCGATGTCCACACACCATTAAAGTGCTATTAAATCGTAGTTACAACTACTGTCTGCCCCCGCCACTGGCACTGTCACT